GACCTCCGGAACGTTTGCCCTGAGACGCCCTTCCCGGAGAGGACGCACCATCCTTCGCATGGGCTGGTTTCTCAGACCAGCCTTAGCGAGCCCTGTGGGAGGAGGCCCAGAATGTGCAGGAGAGATCTTGGGCCTGAGTCCACGGTCAGGTCCTAGGAGGCAGCTGCAGTAGGGAACAGAAAGGCCTGGGCCGAGTGTAGGCACTCAGGCGCCCCAGGCTAGCGCTCGCGTTCCATGGGCCACCAAAAGAGGAGTTCCTAGGCTGTCCAGAAGACCTTGTCTCCTTGCAAGTGCCCTAGAAACGCCCCACACCCTCACGCATCCAAGCAGAGCCTGTGATTCAGATGTCTGGCCCTCCCCGGCTCTCCCTCCCGTCCTCCTGCATGTGTTGGCGGGGGCAGAGACCCGGGATTGCAGGTGGGACGTCCTGGCTGCACCCGCCCAGAGTCAGCGCCCTCCCTGCTCGGCACCCCGTGTGACGGCTTGCCTCGAGTTCCCCTTGCCATGTCCTCTAGACGCAGAGGCAGGGAGTGCGTCAGGGAGTCTCCTGGCCTCCCCCAGAGGCTGCCTAGAAGGAGAGCGAGGGAGGGAAGCAGGCACAGCCCCTGAGCCAGTGTGCGGTGTTCAGGAGACTCTTCCACCATCCCAGGCTCCACCCCGCCCCCCGCAGCCTCCTCAGCTCCCAGGGTCTCCTCTGGCTTCCCTCAGTCTTCCCAGAGACGCCCCTGAGCACACCTAGAGGGCGGGGGACCGTAGGACCCGGGCTCCGTCCCACGTCAACACCCCTGCCATGCTGCCACCCCAGCACACCTGCGTGTATCATTCAGCTCACCCTCCCAGTCAGCCACGTCTGAGGGGAAAGGCCCCAGGGAGCCCCCTTGCCCATCAGGACGCTGCTGACTGCTTTGCATTTTTGGCTCTTCTACATGTATTTTGTAAAACATACCAGATCTAATAAAACACAGTGGCTATGCACAGGCTGCTGTCTCTGCCTTTTCTCTCTCCCGCGCCTCAAACCCCGCACCATCCCTAACTCATTCACCTGCAGTCTTCCAGAGCCCCAAGAAAATACCTTTCTTTTCCACAGCCTGGCCATACTTTGGCCCGACACGGGTTCTGGAATGGTTGGAAACCCATCTGGCCTCAGGTCCACACCTGAATCTCCTGCCCACACATCCTGAGAGGAGGCAGGTTAGGAAGGACAGGATGTTGACGTCTCAAAGACTGGACCAGGCAAGCTGTCTTTTCGTGGGTATTCTTTTAAGTTGGAGTCTCACTCTGTCGCCTAGGCTGGAGTGCAGTGCCACACTCACAGCCACTGCAGCATTGACCTGCTGTGCTCAGGCGATCCTTCCCCCTCAGCCTCTTGAGCAGCTGGAATTGCAGGCATGCGCCACCATGCCTGGCTAATTTTTTGATTTATTGTAGAGACGAGGTCTCGCCAAGTTGCCCAGGCTGGTCTCAAACTCCTGAACTCAGGCAGTTCTGTCTCGACCTCCCAAAGTGCTGGGACTACAGGTGTAAGCCATCACACCTGGCTAGCAGGCATTCTTACAGGTTGAATCACAAATTTCTAATTTGCAGACTTCTTAGTTAATCTCAAAGTGTTTTTTTTTTTTTTTTGGAGGGGGTTTATTTTTAGTTTCCAATGAAGTTTCCTTTGTTTAAACATTCCAACCTTGCTTCCAGTATGGACTTTTTTGGGGGCTGTGGTCAGGTCTCTGTTGCCCAGGCTGGAGTGCAATGGCACATTGCACTTCAGGAGGTCACTACAGCCTTGACCTCCCGAAGTCAGGCATTCCTTCTGTCTCAGCCTCCTGAGTGGCTAGGACTACAGGCGCACGCCACCATGCCCACTAATTTGTTTACTGTAGAGATAAGGTTTTGTTACATTGCCCAGGCTGGTCTTGAACTCCTGGGCTCAAGTGATCCTCCCACCTCAGCCTCCCAAAGTGCTGGGATTATAGGCTCGAACCACTTTGTCTAGCCTAGATAGACATTTGTGTCTGTACCCCAGCCAAGAATTGTGGGGGAATCAGATGGTGTGGATTCAGGGCCAGTCACCATGGAGCAGGTGGCACAAAGGTGATAGAGCCTTCCTGTGTGTTCCCGCTCTTTTTTTTGAGTTGGAGGCTCACTCTGTCGCCCAGGCTGGAGGGCAGTGGCAGGCTCCCGGCCACCACAGCCTCGACCTGCTGGGCTCCGGTGAACCTTCTGCCTCAGCCTTCCAAGTAGCTGGAACTACAGGCGCGCGCTACCACGCCCAGCTTATTTTTGATTTATTATAGCGACAAGGTCTCGTCAAGTTGCTCAGACGGGTCTCGAACCCCAGGCTCAGGCAATCCACTTGCCTCAGCCTCCCAAAGTGCTGGGATTACAGGCTGAACCACCGAGCCCAACCTCCGCCCTTTCTTTGTTCTGCTCCTGGAGAGGGGCCACCCATCCTTCCTCTGGGGCGCCATTATGCACGGGAGGAGGGCCAGGCCTTCCCTTCCTTGACTGTACACACGGAGGTGGTCAGGGAGGGGCATGTGTCCAACAAGCAGCAACTTGCCTTCCAAGTCCATTGTTTGGTCATCTGCGTTCCGGGGTAAGTCATCACAGAACCATCTGCTCCCTGGTCCTTGGGTTTCCGTGGGTCATTCCGTGGACCAAAGATCTAATGAGTGCTGTGGGCTCACTGCCCAGAGGAAAACGAAGCACGTTTCCCCGTGTACTATCATGTCCTTAAGTAAGAACCCAGGCGCCTGCCTACCCCTCCGCCTTCCATTTTATAGAAGACGACACAGAGGAGGGACAGGAGGGGCCTTACTCAAGGTCACCCAGTGAGTTTGTGGCAGAGACTAGGTGCGGCCCCAAGTCTCTGCCAAGGGCGGCCTCGGGCAACAGTGAAGACCTGTGCACGCAGGACGGTGCTAGGCATGGGTACATAATCTAAACAAGGTGACACTGCACAGTCCTCACAATGCACACCCTCTACCTGCCTTCTCGGGTGCTTCTCTGTTTGCAACCATGTATTTATTTGCAGGCTGGTCTATGTGCTGTAAGCTCGTGAGGGCTCGTGGCATGCCTGGCCTAGGGTTTTTCCTCACCTTCGGATCCAGATTCAACGCATAACTGTATCACGGGGTGAACCAGCATGATGGGGGTGTGTCTGTAACTGGGTCAGGCGGGCAGACCATCTCCATTGTTTTTTTTCTGAGTCAGAGTCTCATACTATCACCAAGGCTGGAGGACAGTGGCGTGCTCACAGCCACCGCAGCCTTGACCTGCCGGGCTCAGGTGATCCTTCCCACTCAGCCGTCCAAGTACCTGGAACTACAGGTGCACTCCGCCACACTCAGCTAGGTTTTTGTTTGTTTTTTTGTTTTTGAGTTGGAGTCTCACTCTGACCTGCTGGGCTCCAGCGATCCTTCTGCCTCAGCCTTCCAAGTAGCCGGAACTACAGGCACGCGCTACCATGCCCTGCCAATTTTTTGATTTATTGTAGAGGTGAGGTCTCGCCAAGTGCCAGGCGGGTCTCAAACCCATGGGCTGAGGCAATTCACTCACCTCGGCCTCCCAAGGTGCGGGATTACAGGCTGAGCCACTAAGACCGGCTGGGTTTATATATATAATCTATTACAGAGACAAGGTTTATATATAATCTATTACAGAGACAAGGTCTCATCATGTTGCCCAGGCTGGTCTCAAACTTCTGGGCTCAGGCAATCCCAGACTGCTGGGATGACAGACGTGAGCCACTGCGCCCAGCCTGAGAGTGTCCATTTTATAGGGTAGATCCAAGTGTGGGGGAAATTGAAGTCCAAAGCAGAGACTCGCTAGTGAGGGGAGACATGCCCTGGAGCCAGGGATCACACGGATGAGCGCCAGAAAAGCCAGCAGGTGACATTCAGATCGTTCTGTCTCGGCCCCTGGTTGGGCTCTGAATGCCATCAGCTGCTCTTTGCCTTTTGGCATTTGCTGGTTTTCCTCCGACCTTTCCGTCCAGCCCTCCTCTGTGGCCTCATCCCCAACTTGAAATTGAAATCCTGAGCCCGACAGCTCAGACCTGACCCTGTTTTCCAAATCACCTCCAATCGTGTGGCTTTTTTTTTTTTTTGGAGTTGGAGACTCACTCTGTCGCCCAGGCTGGAGTGCAGTAGCATGCTCACAGCCACCGCAGCCTTGACCTGCTGGGTTTAGACGATCCTTCCGTCTCAGCCTTCCAAGTAGCTGGAACTACAGGTGTGAGCCACCATGCCCGGCTAATTTTTGTGATTTATTGTAGAGACAAGGTCTCACCAAGTTGCTCATGCTGGTTTCAAACCCCTGGGCTCAGGCAATCCTCTTGCCTTGGCCTCCCAAAGTGCTGGGATTACAGGCTGAGCCACCGAGCCCAGCTACTTTTTTTTTTTTTAAAGAGTGTCTCCCTTTGTCACCCAGACTGGAGTGCAGTGGCACGAACATAGCTCACAACCTCATACCTGTGGCGCCAAGCGATCCTCCCACTTCAGCCTCCTGAGTAGCTGGGCCTACGTGCACACACCACCACATCCGAGCGGTGGCTTTAAACCACAGGCAGAGAGTCCAAAGTTTATATCCCCGGAAATCTCCTCTGAGATCCAACACCTTATATCCAGTTGCGGGTTCTAGTACCTTCCTGTGGACCAGTAATGGTCAAACTTGACATGTTCAAGATGGAGCTTAAATTCATGCCTTCCTATCCTTCCCCTTCTCATTAAATGACACCTACAGCCAGGCTCGGTGGCTCAGCCTGTAATCCCAGCACTTTGGGAGGCTGAAGCGAGTGGATTGCCTGAGCCCGTGGGTTCGAGATCCACCCAGGCAACTTGGCGAGACCTCATCT